CCTCCTCCTTCTTTTCCTCCTCCTCCTCCTCCTCCTCCTCCTCCTCCAGTAAGCAGGCAGAGAGAGAGAGAGAGAGAAAGAGAAAAAGAAAGAAAGAGAGAATCTTAAAAAGGCTCCACACTCAGCACGGAGTCTATCACAGGGCTCAACCTCCCAGGGCTCGGCCTTGGACTCTGAGCTCATGACCTGAGCCACAACAGGAGTCAGATCCTTCTACTGACTGAGCCACCCAGGTGCCCCCAGATTATAAATTTTTAAAAACACACAAATTACTGACTTTAGGTTCTCCAGGTAAACAACCAGTTCACTTTACAGTGAACCCAACCTCCACAGCCCTGCCCAAACACAGAGCTTTCTTTTAGCTTTTGGTTCACACTGTACATGAGCATGACAGACAGCGATCACTAGATACTTGAGAGCATGTGACAGTTAAAGACAGGCAAAAACAAATAGAAGAAAGCAACTGGGAGAAAAGTGTTTATTCAGGAGAAGAATGCTTCAGGAAAAAAAAAAAGAAGGAAAGAAAATAATCAGAGGATAACAACAAAAGCTATTAGAAATCAAAATATGATATCTGAAATGTAAGGCTCAGTAGAAGAGTTGGAACTGATAAAATTGAGGAAATCTCCCAAGAAAATGGAGTACAAGACAGAAATGGAAAGAGATAAAAGAAGAAATATTAGAGAACCAACCTCAGAAGTTCAAAATCTGAAAAATAGAAGTTCCAGACAACAGAGAAAATGAAGGAGATAATAAAAAAATACAGTTAATTAAATGTTCCACTAATGAAAGACCAGAGTTTTCAGATCAAAAAAATCCATAGACTCATATGAGGACTTTAAGAGACAAAACAGATGAACATAAGGGAAGGGAAACAAAAATAATATAAAAACAGGGAGGAGTACAAAACAGAAGAGACTCATAAATGGAGAACAAAACTGAGGGTTACCAGAGGGGTTGTGGGAGGGGGGATGGGCTAAAGGGGTAAGGGGCACGAAGGAATCTACTCCTGAAATCATTATGGCACTATATACTAATTTGGATGTAAATTTTAATAAATAAAAAATAAAACAAGTTAAAAAAAAATCCATAGAAAGTCTCACACAAGTAAAAAGAAACCCACAGCCAGACACGTCACTGAAGAAGTTCAGAACTCTGAGAGCAAAGAACTCTGAGAACAAAGAGATATCCTCCAAACTTGGAGAGTTGAGGGAAAAGAAAGATTTCCAACAAAGGATCAGGAATTAGAATAACTACAAATTGCTCACAGCAACACCAGCAAGGCAGTGGAGGAATACCTTTAAAGTTCTGAGAGAAAGTTACTTCCAGCCTAGATCCAATACCTAGCCAAACTAATTAAACGTGAGATTAGAATTAAGCTACTTTCACATATTCAAGATTCAAAAAATTTATCCTCATGCACCCATTCTCAGAATCCACTGGGGGATGTGCTTACAGAAATGAGGACATACACTGAGAACAAGGAAACAAACAGAGTGTCCAGAGCAAGACAAAAAGATTCCTCAGCATGATAATATTAGGAGATCCCAAGATTACGTATAGCACGGCTATTTAGCAGGTCGAGAGAACAGCAGCTAACCCAGGTTGGGGCAAGCCAGAAGGTTCAGAAAGTTTTCTCCACAAAGATGATGTATTTGGGAAACAACTAATGTATTTGAACAAATTAAAAGATTTAAACTAGGGGTGAATTGGGGTTTGACTTAATACCTTTATAAAAACAAAGCCACTAAAACACAGGACAGTGGTGCTTGGTGGCTCAGTCAGTTGACTGACTTGGGCTCAGGTCATGATTTCATGGTCCATGATTTCGAGCCCCGTATCAGGCTCACGGCTGGTCAGTTCAGAGCCTGCTTCGGATCATCCGTCCCCCTTTCTCTCTGCCCCTGTCCCGCTCCCGCTCTCACTCGCTCTCTCTCTCAAACATTCATAAATATTAAAAACACACACATGGGACAAATTGTAACTCCAAAGGAAAACAGAGTGTCAGAAAAAGGAAGAAAGGTTATGATAAACCTTGTAACTGAGCCATGACTAAAATTCACGTAGACATGATAATGAAAGCCTATTGACTACAGAGCTCATCAAAATCATGATAAAATTGGTTAGTAGACCAAAACAAATCATTTTCTTCCTTAGTGGAAAATACTGTCCAGAAAAATCAAGAGACGGCAATATAAACTAGAGATACCGAGATAAAAAAAAAAATGGGTAAAAGAATTGAAAGTGGTTCCTTCTGGAGCAGGAAGTGGAGGGTGGGGCTGTGTGAACTGTTTTTCATAACAGGCCTTCTCGAACCATTTGACTTTTCAAGGTGTTACATATATAACTTAGATTAAAAATAATAAGTAAGAATCACAACAAAAACAGAATGTATTGGCATCATAAATTAGAAGAGATATCCGCCTGTACAGAGAACATGTCTATGAAGAAGCGGAATAAGGAATAACAAATGAAAAAGGCATATGGAGACACGTTCCATTTGCACTCTGTCACAGTTTGGTGGCATATGGATTAGTCGACAACACCAATTAATTACTTTTCTTTATGGTGATAACTGTAACTTAAAACTGAGACGTCAGACAAAAATAGAACTAGAGTAAGTCTCACTCTTTACATAGACCTGTTATGAACCAAAAGCAGAATGTAAAATTATTATTCAAAATTCAATATATTTTCTAACTTGTGGGAAGTAAGTAGGCAAGAATTTTCAAGAGAAAGCCCCTGATTTTTCAAGTAATAGATTATCTTACTATTTTATGAAATAATGTAGTCCGTGCTCTTTGCCAGGTCACACTATCTGCCCCCCCCCCTTTCTAAGGTGCTTGATAGGATCGCACCTCCTTGTCGGAGCCACGTGACTGGTTCTATCCTGGGAGTTGTAAATGAAAATGACCTGTGCGTATTGCCACCACTGGATCTTCCTGAGCCCTCTCCTTTGCCCTGCCACGCCTTGGGAGACGTGAAGTATGAGTGAGAAATAACTTTTGTTGATTTATGCTGAGACTGTTGCTTATCATAGCCTAACTGTACACAGGTGGAAAATGCTCAGGCCCATAGCTAGGACTCGTCCTCCCACGGGAGCCACGTACCGCCTTTGCCACTGGTGGCACCA